AGCAGCAGACCCACTGGTGCCTGAGTGGAACCCTCTCTGTCCTTAGACACTCTTGATGTAGGAGGGTCTAAGGTCAGTGATGATTCGGGACATTTATTAACATTTATTAACATTTCTGAACATTTCTGAACATTTCTGAACATTTCTGAACATTTCTGAACAGTGGTCATTCATCTCCGTATGGATCAATAACTCATATGTCCATCCATCCATCCATTTTCTTCCGCTTTATCCGTTGCCGGGTCGCGGGGGCAGCAGTCTAAGCAGAGACGCCCAGACTTCCCTATCCACACACACTTCCTCCAGCTCGTCCGGGGGGACCCCAAGGCGTTCCCAGGCCAGCTGAGAGACATAGTCCCTCCAGCGTGTCCTAGGTCTTCCGCGGGGCCTCCTCCGGGTGGGACGTGCCCGGAACACCTCCCCAGGGAGGCGTCCAGGAGGCATCCGGAACAGATGCCCGAGCCACCTCAACTGGTTCCTCTCGACGTGGAGAAGCAGCGGCTCTACTCCGAGCTCCTCCCGTGTGACTGAGCTCCTCACCCTATCTCTAAGGGAGCGCCCAGCCACTCTGCGGAGGAAGCTCATTTCGACCGCTTGTATCCGCGATCTCGTTCTTTCGGTCATTACCCAAAGCTCATGACCATAGGTGAGGGAGGGAACGAAGATTGACCGGTAAATCGAGAGCTTTGCCTTTCGGCTCAGCTCCCTCTTTACCACAACGGTCCGATACAGCGACCGCATCACTGCGCACGCTGCACCGATCCGCCTGTCAATCTCACGCTCCATTCTTCCCTCACTCGTGAACAAGACCCCGAGATACTTGAACTCCTCCACTTGAGGAAGGACCTCTCCACCCACCTGAAGAGGGCAGGGCACCTTTTTCCGGTCGAGCACCATGGCCTCAGATTTGGAGGTGCTGATTCTCATCCCAGCCGCTTCACACTCGGCTGCAAACCGTCCCAGTGAATGCTGCAGGTCCTGGTTCGTTGGAGCCAACAGGACAACATCGTCCGCAAACAGCAGAGATGAAATCCTGTGGTCCCCGAACCGGACCCCCTCCGACCCCTGGCTGCGCCTAGATATTCTGTCCATAAATACAGTGAACAGAACCGGTGACAAAGGGCAGCCCTGTCGGAGGCCAACATTCACCGGGAACAGGTCTGACTTACTGCCGGCAATGCGAACACAGCTCTGGCTCCGGTCATACAGGGACCGGATGGCCCTCAGCAGAGGACCCCCGACCCCGTACTCCCGGAGAACCCCCCAAAGGACACCCCGGGGAACACAGTCGAACGCCTTCTCCAAATCCACAAAGCACATGTGGACAGGTTGGGCGAACTCCCATGAACCCTCGAGTATCCGATGGAGAGTATAGAGCTGGTCCAGTGTTCCGCGACCGGGACGAAAACCACACTGCTCCTCCTGGATCCGAGATTCGACCATCGGCCGTAGCCTCCTCTCCAGTACCTTGGAGTAGACCTTACCGGGGAGGCTGAGGAGTGTGATCCCACGATAATTGGAACACACCCTCCGGTCCCCCTTCTTATAGAGAGGGACCACCACCCCGGTCTGCCACTCCACTGGCACCGCCCCCGATCGCCACGCGATGCTGCAGAGACGTGTCAGCCAAGACAGTCCTACAACATCCAGAGACTTTAGATAATCAGGGCGGATCTCCTCCACACCCGGAGCCTTGCCACCATGGAGGCTACCAACCACCTTGGTGACCTCAGCCAGGGAGATGGATGTATCCGCCCCAGCATCCTCAGCCTCTGCCTCTGAGACAGAGGACGTGACGGGGGGATTGAGGAGAACCTCAAAGTATTCCTTCCACCGCCCGACAATATCCCCCGTTGAGGTCAGCAGCTCTCCACCCGCACCGTACATGGTGTTGGCAAAGAACTGCTTTCCCCCTCCTGAGGCGCCGGACGGTTTGCCAGAATTTCTTTGAGGCCGACCGATAGTCATGCTCCATGGACTCTCCGAACTCCTCCCAGTCCCGGGTTTTTGCCTCTGCAACAGCCCGGGCCGCGGCACGCTTGGCCTGCCGGTACTGGACAGCTGCCTCAGGAGTCCCCCGAACCATCATGGCTCGATAGGACTCCTTCTTCAGCCTGACAGCTTCCCTTACTGCCGGTGTCCACCACCGGGTTCGGGGGTTGCCGCCGGGACCAGCACCAGAGACCTTGCGACCACAGCTACGGGCCGCCGCATCGGCGATTGAGGCAGAGAACATGGTCCACTCGGACTCCATGTCCCCCTCCTCCACCGGGACCTGGGAGAAACTCTCCCGGAGGTGTGAGTTGAAAGTCCGTCTGACAGGGGGCTCAGCGAGACGTTCCCAGCAGACCCTCACTATACGCTTGGGTCTGCCAGGTCTGACCGGCTTCTTCCCCTGCCAGCGGATCCAACTCACGACCAGGTGATGATCGGTTGACAGCTCCGCCCCTCTCTTTACCCGAGTGTCCGAGACACGCGGTCGAAGGTCAGATGATACGACAACAAAGTCGATCATCGACCTCCGGCCTAGGGTGTCCTGGTGCCACGTGCACTGGTGGACACCCTTGTGCTCGAAACATGGTGTTCGTGATGGACAAACTGTGACTGGCACAGAAGTCCAACAACTGAACACCGCTCGGGTTCAGATCAGGGGGGCCGTTCTTCCCGATCACCCCTCTCCAAGTGTCACTGGCGTTTCCCACATGGGCGTTGAAGTCCCCCAGGAGAATAACGGAGTCCCCGGGCGGTGCACCGTCCAGTACCCCTCCCAAGGACTCCAAGAAGGCCGGGTACTCTGCACTGCTGTTAGGCCCATAGGCCGTCACAACAGTGAGAGACTTGTCCCCCACCCGGAGGCGGAGGGACGCGACCCTCTCATTCACCGGGGAGAACTCCAACACGTGGCGGCTGAGATGGGGGGCAATGAGAATGGCCACCCCAGCTCGCCGCCTCTCCCCGCGGGAAACACCAGAAAAGTGGAGCGTCCAACCCCTCTCAAGGAGTTGGGTTCCAGAGCCCAAGCTGTGTGTGGAGGTGAGGCCGACTATCTCTAGTCGGTATCGCTCAACCTCCCCCACAAGCTCGGGCTCCTTCCCCCCCAGTGAGGTGACGTTCCACGTCCCGAGAGCCAGCTGTTGTGTGTGCGGACTGGGTCGTCGAGGTCTCCGCCTTCGACTGCCGCCCAGTCCTCTCTGCACCATGCCACCACGGACCCCTCTGCAGGTGGTGGGCCCACAGGAGGGACTGCCCACGTCGTCCATTCGGGCTGAGCCCGGCCGGGCCCCGTGGGCTAAGGCCCGGCCACCAGGCGCTCGCCTACGAGCCCCGACCCCAGGCCTGGCTCCAGGGTGGGGCCCCGGCTGCGCCATGCCGGGCGACGTCACTGGTTTCGTATGAGTGCTGTCCATGGTGTCTTCTGGACTGCTCTTCGTCTGACTCGTCACCTGAGACCTGTCTGCCATGGGAGGCCCTACCAGGGGCATGAAGCCCCAGACAGCATAGCTCCCAGGATCATCCGAGTACTCAAACTCCCCCACCACGTTAAGGTGGCAGTCCAGTCTCATATGTGTTTGTTATAATTGCTTTTCCCAAGTTTGAACTGTTTGATTCTCTGTTGTTGGTGAATCTACATCTTTGTACTCTGTTTTCTGCCATGTCCACAATTGACATACACAAATAAATAAATAGAGTATGGTAAAGAAAATGAAAGCATCTCTCAAACCAACATGAGTTTGGTTCCTAAAAATGAATCTGTTTTTGTCTCGTGCAATGACTAACAGAGGGACAAATTATGGAACCACTGGATTTGTTTCCATATAATTCCTCTGTAACTTGTTCTATTAAAACGGCAACAAACTACGACACATGTTGAAATTCTAAAGCACTGACTTCATCACTGACACATTATATTCTCTTTATTCTCTCATAGTTGTCATATTAGTGATAGTCCTCAATCTGTACAGAATGGGTCCACGGCGTGTCTGCATGTGTTCTGTGTTTATCCCCACGTGTGTTTCCCTGGAGCTGTGTGTAACTTTGTTCTGTCACACTTGTTCCCAGCAGGACTCACTGTGCACATGTACACGTGTTAATCTGAGAGAGAAATGTGCAGGATTCAGAGCGCGTCACAGCACTACTCTCCCCAACAACACTCCTCTTTGATTCATGAACTGTATTTCTCAGCCATGCCATAAATACTTTAAGGTTGTTGTCTTTTTGAATTGAACTAATTCAATTCAATGCATTTGTGTATCACCCTAAATCATAGCAGCATGACTTTAAAGTTGTTGATTAACAGGAAATGCAATAATAGCAAACACATAGAAGCCACGGGTCCATGGGGAGAGGGATGACCAATGGCAAAGGATGACTATGACTATAAGAGATGACTATATGAAATGTCAATGAGCGGAACGTACATACACACATACATACATACGTACACACATACGTACACACATACACACATACGTACAGACAGTCAGGAGACAGCCTGTGTGTGTACGTGTATGTATCTAAGAACACGTTGTGAAAACCCTCCTGAACTGGACGCTCTGCAGAAGCATGGACCGAACACGAGTCTCTCCTGTTAAACCCTCTCTTCACGTTGTGCGCTGCAACGTGACGGCTCCGGTCCCGTCCCCGTGTTACGTCGCGGGGCCGTAGCTCCGCCCCGTGTTGTGCAGAAAGTGTGTCACTGGGTTAAAGTGGCTCCGACTGCTGCGTGGGGAGGCGTGGCCAACGTGTGGGTCACATGGGCGAAGCCACTATTGAGAACATTTAGTTCTCCTGAGCAACCCGCAGTCAGTCAGTCACTCACAACAACAGGACGCGCGTCTCTCTCCGTCTCCAGTCGTGTCTTCCACAGTCTATGGTCTCTGCGCTGGCATGACCTGGAGCACCGCTGCACTATAGCTGCAATTCACTGAGAGATCCACAGCTGAACCAGGAGCTGAGCCTGTGCGTGTCCGTGTCTTTCAACGCATTTTTCCCCAATCAACATGCCTGAGGACATGGGGACCGCCAAGCCTGGTAAGATCCCTGACTTTATTTGCTATTACCAGTCCCGGGTTTGACTCTAAACTGTTAAGAATTGTGTGTTTATAACGAGACATGTAAGTTTGTCCGTAAGCACTTTGCGGAGCAGGCATGTTAATATCACTGATCCAAGTAGAGTTCGGTCACTTATCTTTACAGTATGTACAGTACAGCAGTGCACAGATGCGTCCACAGTTTCTCTGATGAGCTCCAGAGCGTGATCCACTGTAGTCAGTGTATGTGGTCGTACAGTATTCACGTGTGTCTGATACTGTAGTCATGTCAGTGTTACATGAATGTGAGGGTGGTTATGCATGCACAGGTGTCAATGCTGTATGCACAGGTGTCAATGCTGTATGACTGCACAGCGGAGCATTTGCAGTTATATCTGGCTCTAATGTTGTTCTGTGTATAAGTCAGTAACGTCACATCGCTCAGCAGTGTCAGTCGGGCGCCATGTGAGCCCTGTTCTATCGGGGTTACTGTGTTGCGTCGCGGTCCGCCTCTCATGTTGTGTTCCACTTCCCGGGCTGCCTCACATGGACCCGCACTCCCAGCCATGTGCCTCTGTGTACACGCACTGCTCTGCTCGCTTGTCATTGGCCGAGAGGCGTGTCCCCCTCAGCCATGCGCTTTCGAGGAAGTCCCACGCCATTGGCCGGTGACGCAGACACGTTGCATAATGGCGTGCGTCCACAGAGCGCGTCGCGAGGCGCAGTCCCAGGTCCACGTGAGGCGCACCGAGGCTGACCTACATTCACCGACAACATTCATGACGGGCCCACGTGTGGGAGGGACGGCTGGGGTTAGGTAATCAGCTGCTGCTAGCTCCGCGGCCAGGCGTGTTAGGAGGGTTTGTTTTACGGGAATAACGATATAACCACATATTTCTGCAACTTTAATGGCTCCTTTATCTTTTGAATGATATTTTTCACGCCATTTGCATTTATGACATGAGAATGCACAATCCATGTTCTTTGGAATTAAGAATTATTATAGCAACACATCATGTTAGAAAAGATCTTGAAGAAGTCTCCAAATATTTTTTTTTTTTTCAGATAATTTATCTATATTGCCTAACATGGTTCGATGTGGTTGTATGAAATTATAAATAAAATCAGAAGAATCATTCAGGGGGAACTAGAAGCTGCCACAAACTGAGACACCTCAGTGCTGTTCTGGTGATTACCAAATACATATTTGGTCCTTCTTCTCCTGTTGTGCTTCACTGACCCTGTCTGGGAGCAGCCCTCAGCCAGCATGGCACACTCCCAGAACACAGAGACCAGGCTTGTTATGTAACTGAGTTACTTAACCAGTAGCACACGGTGATAAAGCTGGTCAATCTCAGCAGCCAATCCACCAACCAGGAAGAGTCTGAGGCGTGCAACAACAGTCAGATAAAAGAGATTCAACAGTGAGCTAATAGTTACAACAGTGAGCTAATAGTTACAACAGTGAGCTAATAGTTACAACAGTGAGCTAATAGTTACAACAGTGAGCTAATAGTTACAACAGTGAGCTAATAGTTACAACAGTGAGCTAATAGTTACAACAGTGAGCTAACATAGCTGCATGTCTGGTGTCCACAGGGGGAGTGATCGCCTACATCTCCTCCGGCGCTGCCTCGAGTCCAGAGTCCTGTATGAGCACTAGTCCCAGCACTGGGTACCTGTCCTCATCCCCCCCTCTGTCCCGGCCGTCCCTGCCGAGCCGAGCCGTGGGCATGGTGGTGGACATTGCCCCTCCGGCCAAGGGTGGACCTCAACGCAGTGTGGACAAAGCAGGACGCTCATCTACGTCTACCAAGAGCAGCATCACAAGTAAGAACACAGGAAAACACCTATTTGAATAACCTTAAGTATGTGAGCTCACTCGTGTGTTTATCTTGCAGAAATAAACGGGATGGTGCTTCTCTGTAAAGTCTGTGGTGATGTGGCCTCGGGCTTCCACTACGGGGTCCACGCCTGTGAGGGCTGCAAGGTCAGTGTGACTTCTGTGAGGTCAGTGTGAGTTGTGTGTTTCTCTGGTCTAATACGTGTTTGTAAATGTTGCACAGGGCTTCTTCAGGAGGAGCATCCAGCAGAACATCCAGTATAAAAAGTGTCTGAAGATGGAGAACTGCACCATTATGCGGATCAACAGAAACCGCTGCCAGCAGTGCCGTTTTAAGAAGTGTTTGTCTGTGGGCATGTCCAGAGACGGTGAGTGTGGAACAGCAGCTCCAATAAAACTCCGTAATGACCTGTTTGAAGCTAAATGTGTGACCTCCTCTCTGCAGCGGTGCGATTCGGCCGTATCCCCAAACGCGAAAAGCAGAGGATGCTGCTGGAGATGCAGAACGCCATGAACAACATGATGAGCTCCAACAGCCAGCTGCACACCATGCTCCAGGGCCAGCAGAGCCCCTCCCCCTCCTCATCCTCATCCTCTGACCCGCCCTCTCCACAGTGTCCGCCTGACTCTGAGTCTGTCTCCATGGATACCAACTCCAGCTCTGCCTCGTCGTGCTCCTCAGACAGTGGAGAGGACGACCTGAGTTCCCACCGGCAGCAGGAGGGCTTTACGTACCACCAGCAGAGCCCTGAGGCCCCAGGGACCAGCGACCGGACCAGCGACCGGACCAGCGACCGGACCAGCGACCGGACAAACGAGGAGCAGAACAGCTGGAACAGTTGGAACAACACCAGTTTCTCAGACACGCTACATGTGACTAACACGGCCTATAGAGAAGAACAGACCTACCAGCTCCACAGCGCCCCCAGCTTTGAGGCCACACACCAGCAGCTGCATCTACACTGTCCACAGACCAGCCGCACTCACCTGGTAAGAGTCACCCAGTCAAACAGCTGCAGCATTTAGTTGTTAGGTTTTTTTTAGATTTATCCAAAGTTAAGCTGTATGAGCAGAACAGTTTTGTATAGATCCAAATGAATTAAATTAATGAATTGTGAGATACTAAAGTCTCATCTCCTAAATCTCATCTCCTAAATGACACATGAATAAACATCCCTCTCTCTCTGTGGTCCAGGTGTGCCCCATGAACTCCTCGCCTTACGTGGACCCACACAAGAGCAGTCAGGAGATCTGGGAGGAGTTTTCCATGAGCTTCACTCCTGCTGTGCGGGAGGTTGTGGAGTTTGCCAAAAGGATTCCAGGATTCAGAGAGCTGTCCGAGCGGGACCAGGTCAGCCTCCTGAAAGCCGGCACCTTTGAGGTAAGATCTCTGCAGACTTTGGTGTCAGACTCATTCTGTACCTTTGCTGCTTCTCTGTCACACCAGCTGTACCCTGCTCACCCTGTACCTTTGCTGCTTCTCTGTCACACCAGCTGTACCCCGCTCACCCTGTACCTTTGCTGCTTCTCTGTCACACCAGCTGTACCCTGCTCACCCTGTACCTTTGCTGCTTCTCTGTCACACCAGCTGTACCCCGCTCACCCTGTACCTTTGCTGCTTCTCTGTCACACCAGCTGTACCCCGCTCACCCTGTACCTTTGCTGCTTCTCTGTCACACCAGCTGTACCCCGCTCACCCTGTACCTTTGCTGCTTCTCTGTCACACCAGCTGTACCCCGCTCACCCTGTACCTTTGCTGCTTCTCTGTCACACCAGCTGTACCCCGCTCACCCTGTACCTTTGCTGCTTCTCTGTCACACCAGCTGTACCCCGCTCACCCTGTACCTTTGCTGCTTCTCTGTCACACCAGCTGTACCCCGCTCACCCTGTACCTTTGCTGCTTCTCTGTCACACCAGCTGTACCCCGCTCACCCTGTACCTTTGCTGCTTCTCTGTCACACCAGCTGTACCCTGCTCACCCTGTACCTTTGCTGCTTCTCTGTCACACCAGCTGTACCCCGCTCACCCTGTACCTTTGCTGCTTCTCTGTCACACCAGCTGTACCCCGCTCACCCTGTACCTTTGCTGCTTCTCTGTCACACCAGCTGTACCCTGCTCACCCTGTACCTTTGCTGCTTCTCTGTCACACCAGCTGTACCCTGCTCACCCTGTACCTTTGCTGCTTCTCTGTCACACCAGCTATACCCCGCTCACCCTGTACCTTTGCTGCTTCTCTGTCACACCAGCTGTACCCTGCTCACCCTGTACCTTTGCTGCTTCTCTGTCACACCAGCTGTACCCCGCTCACCCTGTACCTTTGCTGCTTCTCTGTCACACCAGCTGTACCCTGCTCACCCTGTACCTTTGCTGCTTCTCTGTCACACCAGCTGTACCCTGCTCACCCTGTACCTTTGCTGCTTCTCTGTCACACCAGCTGTACCCCGCTCACCCTGTACCTTTGCTGCTTCTCTGTCACACCAGCTGTACCCTGCTCACCCTGTACCTTTGCTGCTTCTCTGTCACACCAGCTGTACCCCGCTCACCCTGTACCTTTGCTGCTTCTCTGTCACACCAGCTGTACCCTGCTCACCCTGTACCTTTGCTGCTTCTCTGTCACACCAGCTGTACCCCGCTCACCCTGTACCTTTGCTGCTTCTCTGTCACACCAGCTGTACCCTGCTCACCCTGTACCTTTGCTGCTTCTCTGTCACACCAGCTGTACCCTGCTCACCCTGTACCTTTGCTGCTTCTCTGTCACACCAGCTGTACCCCGCTCACCCTGTACCTTTGCTGCTTCTCTGTCACACCAGCTGTACCCCGCTCACCCTGTACCTTTGCTGCGCAGGTGCTGATGGTGCGGTTTGCCTCCTTGTTCAACATGGCGGAGCGCACAGTGACATTCCTCAGTGGGAAGCGTTACAGCCTGGACATGCTGCGCTCCCTCGGTGCTGGAGATCTTCTTAGCTCCATGTGTGAGTTTAGTGAAAAGCTGGCGGCTCTCCGCTTGGACTCGGACCAGATGAGCCTCTTCACGGCTGTGGTGCTGGTCTCAGCCGGTAAGACACGTCTCTGTCGCTCACCAGACTGACTACTGTTTTTCTGGTTCTAATATCTTTTCTTCTTCTCTTGAATCAGACCGTTCCGGAATCCAAGACCTAAACTCTGTGGAGGCTTTACAAGACAAACTGATCCGAGCTCTGAGGAACCTGGTGATGCAGAACCACGGAGCAGACGCCTCCACCACCTTCACCAAACTGCTGCTAAAACTGCCCGAGCTGCGTTCCCTGAACAACATGCACTCAGAAGAGCTGCTGTCGTTCAAGGTGCACCCCTGAGCTTCCTGTCCTCGTCCTCCTGGACCTTCCCTTGTGTTGACCAACCCTCCCGTCTGTAGAATGTACCAGAGGTGTTTTTTACTCTATTTTCTTATGACAGAGGTGAACAGAAACTATGACATGTACTGTATTTATGGACTTTGGCTTTGTTGCACACAACACGTGCCCCTGCACGTTTTATAGTTTTGTAAAGGCATTTGATGCTTTGAGCATGAATTCTGTTCTGTCTGCATTTCTATTTCCTCCAAAAGCCATTGAATTCCAAAGTGTATTCTGAGCGAGTGAATGTGGGTTATTACAGAATATTCACTTCCATTCTGTATTTCTATGCTCTAAATGAGGTGAGAAAGGCAAGCTATCAGTTGTATGGGAGAATGTGACTGCTGCTAATGCACAGCTGTAATTAGCGGACACGTTCTGTCCATCTGTGTCATGTGACATTTATTTAAATGTTCTGTCAGTGATTTGCCCAAGTCGGGAGATTCTATTTTCAGTTCTACAGTCATGATGTTTGTTCACTGGACGCCTGCAGTGTCTGCTTCATGTTTGTTACCACACACCACACATGTCCTGCCATGAGGTTTTAGGACTTTTGTACAAATGTAATCTTGTGCTTTCAGCATAGCACTGACTTTGAAAATGTCATCCATTTTTGAATATCTTTCTTTTATTGGCAAAAAGCCATTTGTAAATATCTATATAAATATATACATATATATATATAATGATATATAGTGAAAATAAATACATGTGCAAAATCATTGAGGGGTGTTGTCTTTTAATGTATTATTTTTTAGGATTATAATAAACAGGCAAAACAGCATTGATGTTCTAAGTATTTACATTTTCACACAAGTACAGTACAAAGACAAATGTAATGTTCCTGCACAACCACCAGAGGGAGCTGCCACACAGCCATATTTTTAAAGTCGCCTAAAATACATGTAAATAGTTCCTCAATTTCTGTTCTGTTTTATCACTTGTTTTTGGGCTGAGTCACATTTTAGATCAGCTTCAGACAGAAAAGAGAGGACCTCTCACTCAGCCCTTAAAGGTCCAATAGAGACTCACATGGTTCTTGCGTATTCAGACTATACTGTATATAACATGATCATACTTAAATAGTGGCAGACACAAATACACAGACACCAGTGTAGAGATACCAGTGTATAGAGACCAGTGTACACAGACACCAGTGTAGAGATACCAGTGTATAGAGACCAGTGTACACAGACACCAGTGTAGAGATACCAGTGTACACAGACACCAGTGTAGAGATACCAGTGTATAGAGACCAGTACACACAGACACCAGTGTAGAGATACCAGTGTATAGAGACCAGTGTACACAGACACCAGTGTAGAGATACCAGTGTACACAGACACCAGTGTAGAGATACCAGTGTATAGAGACCAGTGTACACAGACACCAGTACACACAGACACCAGTGTAGAGATACCAGTGTATAGAGACCAGTGTACACAGACACCAGTACACACAGACACCAGTGTAGAGATACCAGTGTATAGAGACCAGTGTACACAGACACCAGTGTAGAGATACCAGTGTATAGAAACCAGTGTACACAGACACCAGTACACACAGACACCAGTGTAGAGATACCAGTGTATAGACCAGTACACACAGACACCAGTGTAGAGATACCAGTACACACAGACACCAGTGTAGAGATACCAGTGTATAGACCAGTACACACAGACACCAGTGTAGAGATACCAGTACACACAGACACCAGTGTAGAGATACCAGTGTACACAGACACCAGTGTAGAGATACCAGTGTACACAGACACCAGTGTAGAGATACCAGTGTATAGAGACCAGTGTACACAGACACCAGTGTAGAGATACCAGTGTATAGAGACCAGTGTACACAGACACCAGTGTAGAGATACCAGTGTATAGAGACCAGTGTACATAGACACCAGTGTAGAGATACCAGTGTACACAGACACCAGTGTAGAGATACCAGTGTATAGAGACCAGTGTACACAGACACCAGTGTAGAGATACCAGTGTATAGAGACCAGTACACACAGACACCAGTGTAGAGATACCAGTGTATAGAGACCAGTGTACATAGAGACCAGTGTACACAGACACCAGTACACACAGACACCAGTGTAGAGATACCAGTGTACACAGACACCAGTGCACAGACGCCAGTCCCAAAGAGGGGGCGGCTGCGACGGTAAAATTCCAAACTGTGGCATTATGCCAGGGCTGCTGTGGCTACAGTATTAGTTTATCAAATCTGTGTATGGAGTGAATGAATAACGCTGTAAAGTGTCCTTGAGAGTCAAGAAAAGAGCTGTATCATACATTATTACTTTCATACATATTTCATACATATTTTATTGTGTGATCTTGGTTTGTGAAATGGGCTACATAAATAAAGATTAATTACTTCCTAAATGTTGTTTGTTACAACAATATCTCCTTCCTAGTACTTGCTTGACAAGAAGCCGCTACTCTTTTCAAGATCTTTGAACAGTTCCCCTGGAGTGAAAGGGATACGGACACAGCTCTATCATCTGTAGACACCTACTACAGCAGAGAGACCTGAGGAAGTGCAAGCAATACACAGGACATGTTTATGTGATTAGGGCTGTTGTCAGAGTTTATAAACTCTAATGGAGTAGAGTAGAGTAAGGCAAGGCAAGGCAAGGCAAGTTTATTTATATAGCACAATTCATACACAAGGCAACTCAAAGTGCTGAACAAGATAGCATTAAAATCATAAATAATCACAGAACATTAAAACGAAAGATAAAAATATAAAATCCCTCAGTTGTAGCACAACTAAACAGAACCGTTTTTAACTTGGTTTTAAACATTGTCAGAGAGGAGGCCTGTCTCACATCTTCAGGAAGATTGTTCCAGATTTTAGCAGCATGAATCTGAAAAGCAGCCTCCCCATGTTTAGTTCTGACTCTGGGCACTAACAGGAGTCCGTCCCTGTGCTCCTCAGAGTCCCAGCAGGAGTCCAGTCCCTGTGCTCCTCAGAGTCCCAGCAGGAGGCCAGTCCCTGTGCTCCTCAGAGTCCCAGCAGGAGGCCAGTCCCTGTGCTCCTCAGAGTCCCAGCAGGAGTCCAGTCCCTGTGCTCCTCAGAGTCCCAACAGGAGTCCAGTCCCTGTGCTCCTCAGAGTCCCAGCAGGAGTCCAGTCCCTGTGCTCCTCAGAGTCCGGGCTGGTTCATATGGGACTAACATGTCACTAATATATTTTGGTGCGAGGCTATGGAGAGACTTGTAACAAGCAAAGCTGTTTTAAAGTCTATTCTCTGAGCCACAGGAAGCCAGTGCAGAGACCTGAGAACTGGACTAATGTGGTCGTACTTCCTGGTTCTAGTCAGGACTAATGTGGTCGTACTTCCTGGTTCTAGTCAGGACTCGAGCTGCTGCATTTTGAATGTACTGCAGCTGTCTCAGTGCTGTGGTGGGGTCTAAAGCCGGACTGAAACATATCAAATGAGTTGTTGATTATAGAATGAGTCTGGTGTGTGTGTGAATGGTTGGTGGTGGTCGGAGGGGCCGATGGCGCATACTGGTTGCCTCGCTTCTGTCAGTGTGCCCCAGGGCAGCTGTGGCTACAGTAGTAGTTTATCACCACCGTGTATGGAGTGAATGAATAATGACACATGTGAAGCGTCTTTGAGTGTCCAAAAAAGCGCTATATAAAACCGATGCATTATAAGAAATCTAGTAAGCTGTAGGTAGACAACTTTTTCAAGGACTTTCCCCATAAATGGCAGCTTTGAGATGGGACGATAGTTGTTAAGTACCGTAGCATCCAGACTGCTGTTTTTAAGCAGGGGCCTGATGACTGCAGTTTTCAGGGCCTTTGGGAATATTCCAGAATGAAGGGACATGTTTACTATCTGTGTGAGTGAAGGTAACAGACTGCTCAGAACAGACTTCAGAAATCTAGTGGGTAGTACATCCAAGCTGCATGTGGAGGAGCTCAAACTTGGTGATTATCTCTTGGACAGTTTTATCATTTACAGGTGCAAAGTAAGTTAGCTCAGAGAGCCTTTTAGGCTGTTGGATGGTTATCTGTGGATTGGGGACAATGGCGTTTTTGATGCCTTGAACCTTGTCATTGAAAAAATGTGCAAACTCATTGCATTTACGTTTGGAAGTAAGCTCTAATGGCATTTGAACAGGGGGGTTTGTTAATCTATTAACTGTTGAAAACAGAACACGCAGATTGTTGCTGCAGCCTTCAATCATTTCAGAAAAATACCTTTCTCTCGTACTACGTAGCACCCGGTTAAACTCGCACAACTTATCTTTGAATATCTTGTAATCAACCTGGAGGTTGGACTTGCGCCACTTCCGCTCGGCCCTCCGGCACTTTGTCTTCAGTGCTTTGACCGAGTCTGCTTTAGCCCACGGCGCCTTCTGCTTATTTTTCACTGTTTTAACCTTCACAGGAGCGATGGTGTCCAGAACATTCAAAACACTAGAGGTGACAGAGTTAAACAGTTCATCTACAGTAGAATACGATGCATTCTCAAAGTTTATCATTCCCATAAATAGTTCACCCGTATTTTCATTTATGTGTCTTCTTCGAACAGTTGCAGAGTCCACTGGTGGTTTGTTAGTGAAACACATGTCAAAAAAAACACAGAAATGATCCGAAAGCGCAACATCGACCACGTTTACATTAGAAATATTCACCCCCTTTGTAACTAACAGGTCTAGAGTGTGCCCTCTGCTGTGGGTGGGGCCACTTACGTGCTGAGTGAGATCAAAGGATTCAAGTACAGAACTCAGCTCATTTGCATTTCTGTCATCAACATTATCCACATGAATATTAAAATCACCTGTAATAACCAAACTATCAAAATCTGTGCATACAACTGAAAGCAACTCTGTAAAATGATCAATAAAACTGTGACATGACTGCGGTGGCTTGTATAGGACAATGAAGAGTATTGGAGGAGATTGTTTTTGTTGTATTTTAAAAGACACATATTCAAAAGACGGAAACTTCCCAAGAGACATTCTATGGGAGACAAAGTGGTCTCTGAAAATGGCAGCTAAGCCTCCTCCTTTTTTGTTTTCCCGTATTTCAGATTCAAACTTGAAATTTGGTGGTGATGCTTCTATTAAAACTGCATTTTCTGTATTTTGGTCAAGCCATGTTTCAGCCATGAACATAAGATCAAGATTATGAGAACAAATAAAATTATTAATTAAAAAAGACTTGTTACAAAGAGATCTGACATTAAGCGTAGCAAGTTTCAAAGTTTCAGTATCAGCGGTTGTGGTCGGCTGATTCTTACACGGAACAAGAATTAGATTTTCCAGATTAGACTGATTAACTTCAGATATTTTGTATTGTGTAGATGTATTCTTTGTGTTATCACTAAGGGAATGGCACAGGTGGCTTCATGACAGGGCCCCAGCCGGGTCTCTCCTCTAACTAGACTGCCAGTGGCTGCGAAGCAGAGACCCTGTGCATCCTAGTGCTTAGAGAGAAGAGGGGAAGGGGAAGGTGGGGGAAGAGGATGGAGAGGCGGGTGGTTCTTGGGAGTTGGACGGGGGGGGGTTGAAGGTGGATGGGTTTTTGGTGATGGGTTAGGGGAGGGGCAGGCTGAGTTGGGTGGTGGACGAGGGGGGAGTGGAGGTGGAGGGTTTCTTGGTGCTGGGTTAGGGGGGAGGTGGGCTAAATGAGCAGGAGGGGGGGGTGGAATACTTATGGGGTTAGAGGAGGGACGGGTGGATTTTGTGGGAGAATTTGAGTTGGACGCCCTAGGTGGCTTTGGAGGTACGTATGGGGAGTAGTTTTGAATGTTAGATAGGACTCTTGATCTGGCTACAGTGGGTGTGAGAGGAATAGTCTTCATCGCCGATCTTATCATGCCTGCCGAGTGTTCCGGTAAATCCAGAGTAGGGCTGGTGGAAACGGTCTTTAGAGGGAAAGCTTTAAGTGTCGTCTTTGACTGGCCTCATTGTCCAGGTCAGTGTGAAGCCTTTCCACCTGAGTCGTCTGAGCTCTTCATCCAGCTACAGTCACACACACACACACACACACACACACACACACACACACACACACACACACACACACACATATTTGAACTGTTTCCTTCGTATCACAAACATCTCAAAATCCAAAACACATAAAAGAACGTACCTTCTGGAGGATCTGATCTTGAGTCTTTGGGAGGGTGAGGTCAGCACCTGAGATCATGCGTGCTCTCACAAACGTCTGCAGCTTTGACACTGTGGAAGAAATCCATTTGCTACAATTTAACTTAAGTTTTTAACAACTCAATTTCAATGTTAATGTGACTGCTGCTATTGCCACTGTTAAGACACGCTTTAGCAAATGTACACGCAAAATCTCACTGGAAATAAGAAGAAATAAGTCTAAAAACCTCATGCAAAAGTTTTCTACTAGTCAAATTAAACCTGGGGTGTCAAACCTGTTTAAATAAACAGATATTTCATGTTGTTTGTCCCAACAGAAATAGTTGTAAAGGCGATGTTGTGAACTAATGAGGCCATTGCATGCCATCCATTTTCTTCCTATTCATCTGTTGCCGGGTCGCGGGGGCAGCAGTCACCCCCAGACCTCCCTCTTCACACACATTGAGTGACACATGTAATGAAAGAGGATGGGGGGGGTGTATTCCCTCACTTTTCTTACTGTCAAGCTGTAAGTACTCACTGATTCAAAGGACTGTTCTGTTATATCTAATGTGCTCTGTGGGCATAGGATCAGAGGGGAAGGGAGGGGAGAGAGAGGAGGTGAGAGGGGAAGAAGGGAGAGGGGGAGAGGAGAGGAGGGAAGAGGTGAGAGGAAGGGAGAGAGGCGAGAAGAGGGTGAAAGGAGAGTAGAGGGAGAGAGCAGAGGAGAGGAGATAGGAGAGAGAGTGGAGGTGAGAGGGGCAGAAGGGAGAGGAGAGAGAGAGATGAGAGTGAGAGGGGACAAAGTATAGAGGGGGGGAGAGAATTTGGTTATTTTTGTTTTGTTTTAATGTCTAGTTTGTGTCTGTCAGTTTGTGAGACAGATCCACCACATCTGTTTACTAAAACTCACCTGTTTGACAGATCAACGGCCACTCTTCCTCACAACCCTCATCGTCCCAAATGTGATCCATATTCTCAGTTACACAGTGCTGTACGTAGGGGTAGTTAGGGCTGAAAGACCTCCAGTTCTTGAATGAGCTCGGGCTGTGGTCAGACCAGGCCCAGGGCACACGGTACAGACCAATCCACACGATGGCTCTGGGCGCCACACTGTTGTTGATCTGAGTGTTTTGGATGGAGTTCTCGATGAAGACCAGGTCTGTGTGGTACCGCCTGCAGTATGTCTGAGCCTCGACCCACGATCTCGGGTCGCTGATGTACTGATAGGACACCACACCCAGGTCACTCTCTGCCACAGGAAACCAGAGAAGACTGTTCACTTCTGGGACAATCATTCACCAACATGTCCTGAGTGACTTTGCATGAATAAACAAGGTTTATCTGGCAAACGAGGCAGGAGATTTGACTTCTCTCTCTGTAAAGGTAGAGGTAATTGTGCATAAAGTCTCCCTCCGATCCTCCCTGCTATTTTGCTACATACAGTGATCAGCTGCTTCTGGACAGTATCTGTTTGACTTGAAAAGCAATATTTCAAACCCAATACCTACACTCAAACGCATAAAGGCGTGATCACATATCCTAATATAAAACCTTACTGTCAGTGTATTGTGGATAAGCTGCAGAGGAAATCTTTCTCATTCTTCTTTGAACAGACACCCGGTTTTATCTTACTTTAGGGTTCTCAACTTCCAAACTTTTTAAGAGAAAAAAATGAACTCAGATGACTAATTTTGATACTGTTTCTACCAACATGCATAAACAGCACACACACACACACACACACACATTTACCTGTGAAGCACACAAAGCCGTAGAGGGTGCTGCAGTCTTTGTCAGACCACAGTCCGGTTGTATTCATTATCACACAGGTCTCATAGCGATCACCGTAATCTGGTTCTGCAGAACTCCACATCTGAAATCCACTCTGGCTGGTTTCTCCTGTAGCAGACCATCTCCAGGAGTTTCCCTCTTTCCCCATGATTCCCTTCCAGGAGCTTGTGTTGTCTATCAACCCTATCCAGGCCCAGGAGAAGGAGAATGTTGGCTGGAGCTGTTGAACTTCCTCCATGGATTCAAAAGTGGCCAGGTCTGAGTGGTGCTGTCTGCAGTAGCTCTGTGCTTTGGACCAAGTCATGTCAGTTTGGATGTAGTGGTAATGACGGTGAGAGTAACGAGAACAGGACACCAGAACGATCCCTAGCGAGACACACATAACACACTTCAAACCACCTAACTTTGAAGACATACATGTAAACAAACACAAAGAGGCAAAGCCATTTCTCAGGTTGTGACTTCCTGTTACTCACAACGGCAATAGAAAAAAGTCCGATTCTAATCTTTGCACTATATCATTATAAACTGGGGAGGGCTCAAAGGCCAGATAGAAACATGCAAAGGGCCACATCTAGCCCTCCAGGAGTTTGGTCAAATCAAACAAGATTCTGTCTCCATGTCGTTAAAAATAACTTTTGTTCTACATTTGTCTGAATTTCCAAAGCTATATTTTCCCCTTATCCTTTCATGAAGCTTCGATGTCACTTTGCAAACTTTTACTATCAGGAAAATCCCAAAAGAAGTTTTCCATTTCTCATTTGAATGTGAAAATATTTGCAAATGTCCAGCTGTTGTTTAGACCTTTCATCATCAACTCATCAAGACGAGAGTTCTATGTCGAAGGTTAACAAGAAACAACTCAATCCATTGTTTATTAAACATTTATGTCGGCTTTCTTATTGATCTTTGGACAGAAACAAAGTTGAGGTTAATTTGGAAATGATAATTATTTAATTAGGGTTCTCCGCCTCAACAAAACACAGAACTAAAGACAGCAGAAAAAACACAGTTTTCTAGACTGAAAAAATAACTTAGAGGATTACTTTTGAAACTGTTTCGACCAACAAGCAAAAACAACACAGGCACATAAATGCACACACACACTCACCACACGTACACACACATCCACAAACATGCAAACACTCTCACACATACACACACACACACACACACAAACATCCTGTACATCCACACAACGCGCAGGAAAACACACATATATACTGTACATACACCACACACCCACGTACACAAAGACACGCATACACTACACACACACATCGCAAAGACACAAACACATGTACGTACACACATATACATAAAGACACACACACATGCACGGACACACATATACCCACAGGCACTTATGCACACACACCCACAGGCATGCATACACACTCACACTCACTCACTCACACACACACACACACACACACACCTTGAACACAGATACTAACCTCACACACACACACACACACACACCTTGAACACAGATACTAACCTCACACACACACACACACACACACACCTTGAACACAGATACTAACCTCACACACACACACACACACACACACACACACACACACACACACACACACACACACCTATACAAAGGGCCAGAACATAAGAGAAAAAAACCTGGCCATCATCAGTAAACAAGCAGACAACATGCTACTTACCGAGGGAGAAGAGAAAGAGTCTGAATGCAGTCATCTGAAAACCCTGAAACAGAACAAATGTATCTGTGTTTTCTGTACATCTACATTACATCTACATTATATGTAGACATATTTATGTTGATCTCTGTAATTGATTGGATAAGAGCTGCTCTCATTCTTTACACTGAACAGACTCAAATCATTGTTCTGAAAACAAACATTGTTCAGGTCTCTTGATGATGTAGTCTAGAATAAACAGTAAAGGCAACATTTTGATTTGAATATTCAAACAGGAAGTATAGGTACAGGTTCAGTCATTTAACTATACTACTACCACATTTATAAAATTACTAGAACTCCCAGAGCCATCATTATGACGACTGTCATTCAAACCTACATTCTCTTCACTTTTATAAAGCTAGTGCTTGGGCTGGGTAATATAACAGTAAATCTGTTTGTTGAAAGGCTACCCACTGCTAACTGGTGGCTAGTAAACATTACGTTGCTGTGTTAGTGGTTCTGGTACCAGCTCCACTCTGGGAGGTAAAGAGAGAACTACTCTAATTTCAAGTAAAAGAGTAAAAGAAAATACAAGGGAAATGACATGGAAATAAACTACATATAGTAGAGGCAGAAAAAGTCACAAACTTATCAAGAGCCAAAATTTACATACGTAAAGTAAGTAATTGCACTTAGAAAACTAAAGGCCAAAAAATTGAGTCTTCTAAGAGTTCTAGAGTTAAAATCGACATCTCAAAAACACAGCTCAGATTAAAACAAATGACTCACAGAGAAATACAGGCTTGATGCAGTCGGAGGCTGAGGATCTGTGTGGAAAACCTCAGGGGCTTCGGGTAAGAAATGTATGTTGTAGAGAGGAGAGAGGGAGAGGGAGAAGGGGAGGAGAGTAGAAAGGAGAGGAGAGGGGAGAAGAAAATTGAGGAAAGGGGAGAGGAGAGGGGGGGGAGGAAAGGAGAGAGAGGGGAGAGAGGAGAGAGCCGTGAGAGGAGAGGTCTTTTGCAGGGGCCACTCCTGGGGTCCTTCTATGACTCTGTGGTGGCATCAGCATCTACGGTGTGGTCTGCTGGAGCAGCAGCATCCCAGAGAGGGACAGGGAGAAGCTGGACAAGGTCATCAGGAAGTCCTGCTCTGTCCTGGGCTGTTCCCTGGACACAGAGCAGCAGGTGGGGGACAACTGACATCTATGCTGGACCATGACTATACTGTAACTCACTGCAGGACACTCAGTCCGCTCTGAAGAGCAGCTTCATTGACAGATTATATACATTAGAACATGACGTGCTGCTCAGAACTTCTACCACAAGATGGGAGTGTTTTGCTCATCCTGGCCATCTGTTATTTTGCTGTTCTTCACATTTCAATTGGATGTGAGTGAATTGTTTTTTGATTTACCTTTATTCTATCAAGTGCTATACATGTTAATAATACACAATTAATTCATGAAATAAACAATTATCATTGTAAATAAATTGGTAATACCATATTGAAATGCACAATGAAATATTTGGATGATTCATTACAGATAGATTGATACTTTATTGATCCCCGTAGAAGAGATTCAGGAGTCCAGTAGCAAACAAAAATGAAAATAAAAAAATTATAATTTTAAAAAGCTAACAATGGTAAAAAGCAAGAGCCCTTCAGGTCAGAGCAGCAGAGATGCTGCTTACAAAGTTCTCCCTGAGAATGAAGGCAAACCATAAGGACATTCTTCTTTGACTCTTGAGCCGTTTCCTTTGTGAACACCAACATTGTGCGCCGTGAGCGGCACCAACACAGCCTTCAAAGGCACGTGCACACACCACACACCTGTCCCGAGTCGTGGGCATGTGGTTACAGCACGTGTTACTGGTTTGGAAATTGGCGTCTCGACCAAGCCACGCACTCAACAGCAGCAAAAATAGACTATTGGAGAAATACTCAGTCTACATCCACACCTGCGGACTGCCCTGCCCAATCCGCCTTGTGAGCTTCACCCCCTTTCTGCAGCTGAGGTCCTAGATCTATAGCCCGTTGGTCCATGTGGATCCCTCTCTCAATGTGGATCTCCCCGAAGTATCCCAGTTTTCTCCAACTGGATTTTAGAGTTTTTTCTTGCTGATGCAGGAGGGTCTGTTGGAAAGTTAGTGTCTAACAAGAAGGACTGTGGTGATGATCCTGCAAACTACAACATTTTACAACATGTATGGACATTTATCAACATTCATGGACATTGGTCTCACCCTATGGACCAATACTCTTGTGTTCTATATTTCTTCTGTCTTAAATGTTGATTCTCTGATCTATGTTGACAATTTCAACGGTTTTGTTAAGTCCTCTAAGATGACTATACAAGTAAAGATTGAATTTAATTTAACTGCATTGAATCCAGGATCTACAGCCTCAGTCCTGGATCTAAAGCCTTTCTATCTGTGGGAGCGAATCCCTCTCTCAATAAGGATTCCCAATGGGTTTTTGAGTTGTTAAGAAAAGCAATGATTCTGGACTTTTATTAACATTTGGTTAATCCCGCTCCCTATGCACCATTGGCTCCAATGATTTTGTTATTATTGCATTTCCTGTGTTGATCCGTTGTTGGCAAATCCACAATTTTGTGGATTCCTGCTGTTGTTACTTAGGGCAATTCACAAATACACTGAATTGAATTAATGATGATGCCTACCAACAGAGAGAACAAACAGGGTGAAGTTTACATCCACAAGCAAACAACAAGAGTTAACTCACAACCTGCAATGACACTCACTACAAAAGGTCATACAGCAGAAGAAAAAAGTATTTATTCAGCCACGAATTTGGCAAGATCTCCCACTTAAAAGATGAGGAAGGCCTGTGATTTTCATCATAGGTATACCACAGCTATGAGAGACAGAATGAGAAAAATAAAAGCCACAAAATCACATTGACTGCATTTTAAAGAATTTATTTGCAAATTATGGTAGAAATTAAGTATTTAGTCAATGACAAAAGTTCTTCTCAATACTTTGATATATACCCTGACAGAACTCAAACGTTTCAAAGTCTTCACAAGGTTTTCACATACTTTTGCTGGTATTTTGGCCCATTCCTCCATGCAGAACTTCTCCAGAGCAGTGATTTTCTTGGGGCTGTCGCTGGGCAACACGGAGACTGAGATCTTTGAGGCTAAGTTAAGATCTGGAGACCGGTACAGTAACAGGATGTTTCCACCCCCATGCATCACAGAAGGTATGGTGCAGATACAGCATTCTTTCTTCTCCAAACAAAACAATTAGCGTTTTTACCAAGAAAGTTCTATTTTGGTTTAATTTGACCGTGTGAAATTCTCCCAATCCTATTCTGGATGATCCAAATACTCTCTAGCAAACTTCAGATGGGCCTGGACATGCACTGGCTTAAGCAGGGTTACACGTCTGGCACTGCAGGATTTGAGTCCCTGGCAGCGGTGTGTTACTGATGGTAACCTTTGTTACTTTGGTCCCAGCTCTCTCCAGGTCAATCACCAGGTCCCCCCGTGTGTTTCTGGGATTTTTGCTCACCCCAAGCGGATGAGATCTTGCATGGAGCCCAAGATTGGGGAGAATATCAGTGGTCTTGTATGTCTTCCATTTACCAATAATTGCAGTTGATTTCTTCACTGCTTACCTTATACAGATTCCCAGCCTGGTGCAGGTCTACAATTTTGTTTCTGGTGTCCTTTGACAGCTCTTTGGTCTTTGCAATAGTGGAGTTTGGAGTTTGACTGTTTGAGGTTGTCCATGTCCAAGGCAATGTCCTTGGTCATGTCCACAGTTGCAGTAGTAGTGTAGGGTGCTTTCACACCTGTTGGTCCAGTAAAGTGGTTCGATTGGGCCCTAAAGTTGTTACAATGTTGCAGTTCTCAACTAGTTTGGTTCTCATTCACACCAGTGTTTTTGCAAATGAATCGACCACTGTGGGTGTTACATATTCCGCCACCCATGTGGTGGCGCTGTTCACAAAATACCGTGTATTGGATGACGTAGGTGAAACCTGATTGACGCAGGATGTGAAGAGGGAAAAATCCCTCTTCAAAAGAAAACAAACTTGTCAAATCCTTTTCGATGAACTGTGCTACTCTGCGTTTGTGGATATTTTTTATCATTGTTGCTTTGTGCAGCACAAATACTGCAGTTGTTCCAGTATTTATCGCGGATTCAGCACGAGAACACTCTGCGGTTGTTTTTGGAGCAGAGAAGACGTGTTGCAAAACACTATCTCCAAAAAAAGAGCTAAACTGCTAAACATGAACCAACTTCTTTTCAGGAGGCATTTTCGGAATTCTCTCCTGTAACATTATGTTCTTCTCATCTTGTAGGAGGACATCAGTTATTCACTATTGATTATTGCAATACCAAATTTGGACTATTCTATCATATAAAAAACACAGTGTGTTTGTCAAAAAGTGAGCTACGCAACAGAGCAGGGCCATGTCGAGGCAGGTCTGCGTTCTCACCAGCAGCGAACCGCACTGGAGTCCACATGGAACCGCACCGAGACCAGCTCCTTAAGGTGGTCTCGGTGCGGTTCTTTAGTCCGGACCAAATTTAACTGTTCCACTTTCACACCTTCTCAAACGAACCGTACTTGCTGGTGTTCCAGACTCCAGTCCGTTTTAAGTGGACTAAATGGTGCAGGTGTGAAAGCACCCTTAGTTGTCTCACGCTTCAACAGAGACACACACACACACACAGACAATTAACTTTTTGTTGATTAGGACCTATTGTGAATTACAAGTTGTATGATTTCAATTGTGTGAATCTTGATTTAGAACTAATCTGTGGACTAGGAGTTTGCATACCCCGCCAACACCGGACTGACGGACAGTATACCTCTGTGTCTAACACTTTCCACAAATTTCCAATTCCCCCAGGCTCACTGCCTGGGTGAATTCTCTTCTCACTGCGTTTGTAAAACTACAGTGCTTTGCGAAAGTATTCGGCCCCCTTGAACCTTTCAACATTTTGCCACATTTCAAACATAACTAATTATAAAAATTAAATTTTTTGTCATGAATCAACAACAAGTGGGACACAATCG